ATTCATAGCTATTCAAAAAAGTCAAGAAAAGAAAAGGGTTAAGAATTTACAAACGCTTAGAAAAAATATAGGAAGAGCAATAACCACCTGGATGACACGATGCTTAGAAATGGGAAACTCAGTAAATGTCCAAATCATAAAAAGTTAAGGGGTGAAGAGTGAAACAGCAACACGAGAGGTTTCCCATTAAACAGAACATAAAGCAACAGGACACTGACCTGAGAAATTAAGGCAGGCAAGAGCATAAATTATATACAGTTGAAAATATGGAGTTGAACATTTTGTTTTCAAAACATGATCATTAGAAAAACTGCATCACAGACAAGGCAGAAGGAATTAGACTGTCAAAGAATAAGGTTGTTTTAAAGGAATAAATGAAATGCATTTGTCAATCCCTTGGCTCGGCTTCCGAGTTGTGGTAGATGGTACTGCTGTTCCCAGCCATTTCCTTCCACCTCCCTTATAAAAAGAGGATTGTAGATTTCCACCCAATATCATAGGGCCACAGGGCATCCGCCCTCTGTACACAATACGCCTCACTGACTAAGTGGCACCCTGACCTGCTTGGGCACTGCAATGTGAGCTCAAGGCAACACAGGCCACTCCTCGGCAGCAGTCCCACCAGTCCTGCTCTTCTGTTTTCCTTTACACCACAAGAGATTCCAGTCCTAACTGGAGACTCTCTCTTCCATCTGGGTCCTGGAATGACAAACACACACCACAAAATCCCAGGACCAGGCTGCCCTCAGTTGTCAACAAGTGACATGAGAAGAATAAAAGTTTGCTTTTGGTAGTCACTGACATTGTTGTTGTCTCTGCAGGAAAGACAAATATTACAGACTCCATTCCTCTCCCAAACTGCTAACAGACCATTCCCACTGCAGTGAAGCCTGGGGCATTTGGCCCTCCCTCTTTCTCCCCTTCTCTATGGCTGCTGTCAACCAAACAGCAGGTAATTGGTAACTATAATTTTGTATTTTTAATTGTTGTCAGCTCTCAAACTTACATGAGCCTTAGCCCCTCCAAATCTAGATCTGCCACTCATGGGAACAAAAGGGAGGTATTTATTTTAACTTGACTATTTCACAGATGAAAATAAAGCCCTGACAGCTTACCAAAATTTCTCCAAAGGCCATACTATTTATAGAGGGCAAGGTCAATTCTGAAACTGCAGTCTTTAGATTTCCATTTTACATGATAATATACCATTTCCTCCCCAAAACATACAGTTGTTATTTAAGGTATTTATACTAGCTTTTAGGTGATGAACATACAACTTTCATTCTTTAAATAAATTTATTTCCTAGAGTCCTTCTTTTTTTTTTTTTTACATTTTATTTATTTATATTTTAGAGAGAGGGAAAGAAGAAAGAGAGGGAGAGAGATGTTAATGTGTGGTTGCCTCTAACACAATCCCAGTTGGAGACCTGGCCCTTGCTGGGAATATGCCCTCACTGGGAATGGAACATAAGACCACTGGGTTTACAGGCCCATGCTCAATCTGCTGAGTTACACCAGCCAGGGCCCTTCTTTATTTTTTATGTAACAAATTCTTATCAATAGACTATGAATATTTTTTAGATAATCTTCAAAAAGAAAGAGCTTCTACCCTTCACAAACAGCATGGATAGAACTGGAAAGCACTATGTTAAGTGAAATAAGCCAGGCAGTGAAAGACAAGTACCATAGGATCTCACCTATAGATGGAACCTAATCAACAAAACAAACACAAAATAGAACCAGAGACTTGGAAATAAAGAACAAATGGACAGTGGCCACATGGGAGGGGATAGTGAGAGGGGGATAACAGGGGAAAGAAGGGGAAAGAGCAAGCAAAGGAACTCACATAGAGGATTCAGGGCATGGACATTATGGGAGGGAGGAAGGCAGGGTAGGAGTGAGCATGGGAAAGAAGGTGGGACAACTGTACCTGAACAACAATCCTTTAAAAATAGGAAAGAAATGAATCTTATTAAACATGTGTGATGTGACCCTAATACTAACTCTACCCCTCTAGTTCTTTGTTTAAAAAACCAGGATATTCATTTCTCCCTCACTATGGCTTAGAGTTATTTTGTCTATTAAATGAAAAAAACAAATGTAACATGATTCGTCGACTAACAAATGTGTTTCATTTACATTTTGCATTTTTAAAACCATGCAGGTCTAGTTTACAGAGAAAGCTTGTATATAGCCAGAGTTTTGTTTAATAAAGCGTGAAAAAGGAAGCATATTTTGAGTAATAAGAAGAAGCCCCAAGAGATCTTCAAAGAGGAACTATAATCCTTCTTAGAGAGTTACCCATCTAGTAAAACTCTAATTAAAAGGCAACTCTATACTGATTTTCCTTCACAGGTTGGAGCCGAATCCACAATTCAGAAGTGACACACTTACACGCCTTCCTCAGGTCCAAAGACACACTGGTACTGCTGCACCACAGAGCAGCAGACTGCAAATAAGTTGCTGCATGACCGAGTTTCATTGGGTCAAGTGTGATTATTCATGAAAATATTTTTATGTCTGACACTTAAGTCTCTGACTTCACTGTCACCTTGAACTCCCAGTGACTGGAGACATTAGTTTATTTAGGTACTATTCTAGAAAGTATTAGCTCAGGATCTTTAAAGCCATGGATTAATTAAAAGATTAACTTTAGTGACTGTTTCCTTTCTAAACAGACATGAGCTTCCATTGGCTTATGTTGCTCTGAGCCTTTGTTGGCCACAAGTGACTCAGAACTGACCTTTCACTTATCACAATGTTCATCCTAAGTCCTCCAAAGCCAATGATCTGTTACAGTGTAGATTTTTCCTGGATTTAAAACACTTGCTTTAAAAATATGTGGCCACCAAAACAAGAAAGAAAAGACACTTCTCTTTTCACAAGCTGAATTCTTTTCAGAGAAGACAGTAGTTTGTTGAACTTTTCAAGTTAACTTACACATAAAATCATTTTCACCATTAGGATATATTAATTCTTCAGTAACTGATTAAGTCCCAACTTTAGCAAACCAGTTATATAGCTTATTACACCTGATTATATCATCAGTTTTTTTAAGTCAACAAAATGTGACAAAGCTAATGCATTTTTAAATTAAGTGCAATAGTTTAAAATTAAGGTCAACTCTCAAAATGTACCTTCTTTGTTCTGACACCATCTCTGCAGAACTCTCCAAATATATTTAACACATCAAACATTTAAATATTCTGTCACTTTGACAATAGTTGTCTGACATTCAATAAATGTAGTAGGAGTTAAATGACTGTCAAATGAGTGAATGAATGAACTATGGAGTAGCTGAACTCCATGACATGGAAATTAAAAATGTCCATATTTTCAATGAAGGTACTGATGTACAATGATTTAAAATAGCATATCTGATATCACTCAGAAATAAATACTGGCATTATTCTTAGAAGAAAATGTCCTGACTGTAAATTCACTTTATTCTCTGCAGCACACTAACATATATTGTTAAGTTTATGAAGGTTACTTATTCTTTCAAATGATAGATACATTCTTATTTTAAAACTTTGTTCTAGGGAATTTAAAATGTACAGGAAATAGAATTGTGTAATGAATATCTATGTACCCAATGCCTAGCCCCAATAACAATTAATCCATCATGCTTCACCCATACCTCAATTCACTACCCATAAACCAGAGTATAGATAAGCAAGTCCCAGTCTCCTGATTCTATCTGTAACTAATCCAGAATGTATCTCTTAAAAAACAGACTCTTGTTTGTAATGTAATGACAATACAATCATTTCACTTACAACATTAATTCCCTTACTAATATCAAATAATCAGTTGGTGTACAAATTGTATACTGCCTGTAAATTAGGAACCAAATAAGGTCTACACATTGTGATTTGTTGGTCTACCTTTTCCATTTTTTTTATCCATCAGTTTCCCTCCATCCTCCTTTCTCTTTCCTATGTGTTGACAAAACCAGGTCAAAACACAATCTCAGAACACTGTTTTAGTTCTTCACTAGCCACAGGAAACTTCCTTTTAAAAAAGGTTCATTTAAGTATCTTTTAAATCATCTACATATCTTAAGACAATCAGAGACTCAGAGAATTCAAGAGCAGTTAACATTAAAAAACTGTATGCATCTAGGTTTTTCTTTCTTGCTATTTTCAAAACTTAGATCAAATTTTAATCCAAGCCCTCACTTTTGTAATTCTTCAAAGAAATTTACACAAGTATGCTAATTTTACATAAAAGGAAGAAATAATACATAGATTACCAGACATGCAGAAATACCTAGGAATAAAATAGTAATGCAACTTTACTACTTCAACTGAAAAAGGAGTAGAAACTTAAACCCAAAAGATGTGCAACAGGGGCCAAAACTCAGGCAATATAATCAAGACACTCAGGACATAACTGGCCACAGTGCTTTGTGTGTGTTACTTAGCAACACTGATTTAATAACAATTTCTAATTTTAATTCTATGTTTCATCCCCCCAAATTTTGCCTCTTTTGTATTAGTTTACTTTAAAATTAACTTGACATTTAAGAATATAAAATAAAATAACAAAAACAACTTGACATTTTCATTTCTCACATAATGTAGTTAACTTTCAGATAAAATAAAAATATGGTAATAGTAACATATATCAAAAGATGACCCATTACAGTTATTTGAAAAAGAACAGCTTGGGCTTCTCTTTAAAATAAAGAAGCAATTGTGCCCCACAAACTCCAGGTTATTTTATTGAAACAAAAGGGCATTTTGATTTGTTGTATAATATATGTTTTCACAGGAAATACGAAATATTGAATGGGTCAAAGCTCCTCAGAAACGAAAAATAAAACCCTTCAGAAAAAGATTGCCAAATTGGCAATGACACTTTTCTATCTTTGTTTAAATAACACCCAACCTAGATGTTTATTTGTTCCAACTAGCTTTTCCTTATTATCACTAGAAATCCATTGCAGCATATATAAGAGCTGCAGTTTCTCGTTCTTACTCACCTTCTTTTGTCATCTTTGGACAAATAACTGGGAGGACACATTTTGACCAGCACAATTCTCAGCCCTGAGAAGGACCCTCACACAGAGGTAGGTACATGGAAACATTGTATGAAGTCTTTTTACTTTGAATACTAAACTTTTCATTTTTTAAAAATGTGTATTGAATTTATTACAGTAACACTGGATAACACACCTATGTACATTTCAAGTGTACATCATTCTATAATAATAATTCTATATAATTCTACATCATTTGTATATTGTAGTGTCTGTTCCCCTCCTGCTGCCATGCCCCCTCCCATCACCACTGTCCCCCTTTACCCTTTTCTACCTCCCCAACCTCTCTTTCCTTCTGGAAATCACCATACTGTTGTTTGTGTCTATGACGGGAGTGTTTTTGGCTTAATCACTTTGCCTTTTTCACCTAGCCTCCCAGTCCCTTTCCCCAATAAACCTATCAGTCTGTTTTCTGTACCTATGAATCTGTTTCTCTTTTGTTTGTTAACTATTCCTGTCCATGAGATTCCACATATAAGTCAAGTCATATAGTATTTGTCTTTTTCTCTGACTGGCTTAATTCTCTTAGCATAGTGCTCTTCAGGTCAATCCACGCTGTTCCAAAAAGGAAGATTTCCTTCTTTCTACAGTGGAGTAGTGCTCTGCTGTGCAGATGGACCATGGCTTTCTGACTCCTTCACCTGTTAATGGCCACTTAGGCTGCTCCCAAATCTTGGTGATGGTCATTAATGCTGCAATGAACATAGGGTACATATATTTTTTTAATTCAAGGTCTGGATTTCTTTGGATATATTTCCAGAAGGGGAATTGCTGAGTCATAAGGCAGCTCTATTTTTAATTTTTTTAGGAAACAATATAGTGTTTATCACATTGGCTACACCAGTATGCATTTCTATCAACACTGTGCAAGGGTTTCCTCTCTCCACATCCTCACCAGGACCTGTCGTTTATTGATTTATTGATGCTTGCCATTCCGACCAGATATTTCATTGTGCTTTTAATTTGCCTTTCTTTGATTATTAGTGATATTGAGTACCTTTTCATATACCTATTGGCCATCTGCATGTACTCTTAGAAGTGTCCATTCAGGTCTTTTGCCCATTTTTTTATTGTATTTGTTCTGGGGTTTTCTTGTTTTGTGTTTTTAAGTTCTCCATAAATTTTGGGCATTAACCACTTATCAGATGTACTGTTGGTGAATATGTTCACCAGTTCAGTGGCTGTCCTTTCATTTTGTTGATAGTTTGCTGTATGACAACTTTTTAGTTCCACGTACTCCCATGTGTCTGATTTTCCTTCTATTCTCCTTCCCAAGAAGCTATATTACAAATAATATTGCCAGGAAAAATGTCTGAGATCTTACTGCTTATGTTTTGTTCTAGGATTTCTAAGATTTCGAGTCCTAAATATAATCTTTAATTCATTTTCATTTTATTTTTGAGAATGGTGAACAACTGATCCGATTTCTTTTTTTTCACATATTTATTTACTTTCCCAACACCATTTAGTGAAAAGACTACCTTTACCTCATTGCATATTCTTGCTTTTTTGCCAAATATTAATTGACCATAAAGGCATGCATCAATTTCTGGGGTCTCTATTCTGTTCCACTGATTATATGATTGTTTATGCCAGTACCACACCATTTTGTTCTGAAACTTTTAAACATATCAGTTTCATGGGCTTCTGGAGAACATCCACTTTTCCCTAAAATAATATGTGACTTACATGAAATTTGGTAAATCATTAAATCTTGTGAAATTCTAATGTCGGAGAAAAGCATTTGTGTGAGCACTTAGGACAATTAATCAAGCCAATTACACAATCAATCAATTCTTCCCCCTGATGTGCCTTAACATTTTTTGAGCTTCATTATGACCAGAACACTAGCAAATAAACCCTAAGAGAATTGAATTGTTCTACAGCACATGTTTATCCTGAGTTTTGACTTTGTTTTTTAAATATTATCCAAGAATGTGTCAGACGAAAAGTAATACTTAAAGAAAAAGCTATCTGCATGTATAATGGAATATTCAGTGAAATTTGTCCCTACGATTGTTTTAGGACTTGTTCAGTCAACACACTCACCTGATAGGTAGAGCTGACTACTAGAAAGCCAGTCTTCACAGACATGCATGTACTGCTCTCCCAGAACAGAGGCTATCATGAACTTGAAATTCGTTGTAAATTTGAAGCCAATTGAGAGAAAAACACCTGAACGTATCCCCAATTCTGCCTTGGTCTTTGATGTACATTATATGTAATTTTGGGGAGAACTTGAGATTGCTTATCATGGAATAAAACAACTTAGTAGAATGCTGTTAAAAATAGGATATATTACATGACAATTTTTCTTTCAACTGCAGTTTACCCATGAACATCATAGGGGTTGGGGGTGCCAATGCCCCACAGTAGAAAATCCAAGCATAATCTTTGACTCACATGTCATCCTTCAGTATCTGCAGACTGATTGATTTTTGGTCCCTCATGTATACAAAAATCTGTGAATGCTCAAGTCCCTTATATATACTACGGTGTAGAAAAAGGCACACAGTTGGCCCTCTGTGCCCACAGATTCCCAGTGAGAAGATCAAAACCAGTTTCAATCTTCAGTTGGTTGAATCTGTGAATGCAAAACCTAGGGATATGGAGTGCCCACTGTGTATTTACTGGAAAACAACCCAATATAAGTGGATACCTGCAGCTCAAACCTGTTTTGTTCAAGGGTCAACTGTCTTTGAAATGCACCCTTGTTCAGACTTGAACATCATGATATTTTATAATAGGCACCGCATTACCTTATAAATTTGTTTTAGAGGTATTACTATAACTAAATCTTAGGTTTTAAATTTTATTTCTTGGTGAAGAGATTAAGCCAAATAAAAACGCTCAGAGACTAAATTATGGCCATTACCAGAGGGAAATGGGGTGGAGGTGGCAAAAGAGGGTGAAGAGGGCCAACTGCAAAGACACGGAAGGAGACTGACTTGGTGTAGTAAACACACAGTACATTTCACAGATGATGTGCTATGGAATTGGACACCTAACACCTATATAATTCTGTTAACCGATGTAATACCAACAACTTCAATACACATATATAAATAAATGTTTCTTGAGACATCTCCACAGTAAGAAAAAGACTTACCTTACAAGATAACATATGAAAGAAAAAATCTTACTCATAAAAGCTCTGTCAAATAAAGCATTTAATGAACAACTTATTGCCATTATCTCCTATGTTTAGCTTACAAGTCAAAAGTGAAAATGAGTTTCATTATTTCAAACTTCCACATCAGAAGCCTAATAGTATTGCTCCTTCTTAATACTGAATCCAAAATAAAATTAGACAATCTTCTTAAAATGCTATACAGTACTATTTGTACACTGTTTCAAATACCAGTGGTTGGGACACTTTCAAAACACAAGGAATATTGATGAGCCATTGTGCTTATTTCCAGGAGTAACAGTAAGGATGAAATCACTGTGCCTACTCTTGGGCCTCTTGGCCCTTCAAGCCTGTTTCTCGGTAAGTCTCCTTAATCACCCTTCATATTTCTCATGCAGCTACTAGTCAGAGTTTTCACACTAATGATGTTACTATTCCTTATATATTAGCAGTTCTCAATCACTGTTCTACTGCTTAATTTCCACTTAAATTATACATCTACTGTAATTTAAATTGCCACACACAGCTCATGGCTACCACATGCCACTGTTTAATTCTGTAATATCAGACTGCATTACACAGACATGAATAAAACTGCAGACACATACATTAGCAACTTCACAAGTAGGGAAACTCATTTCTTGCAATTATTTCCAGTAAACTTAGTGACATTTTTTTAAATATACCTCAATATGTTCTTTAATTTAATAGGAATATTGTTTCCTCATCTACACAATGACATAGTTAAAACAAAAGAATTTTATGAACATAGGCTTCATGTATTATCTACATCAGAGTAAAATAACTCACTTATTAAAAATACAGTAAGCCAAGCCACATTCCAGAATGAATGAGTGTCTGACAGTAAGACCCAGAAATATGCATTTTTCCAAGGACTCAGGAAACATTTAATAAGCTGTAAATATTTATATCAATAAACACCTCCCAGGAGTAGAGGACTGGGTTAAGCACCACAGAGAATTCTAAATATTCAAAGAATATTCAAACTATCAAGGGAAAAAAAGCGACATGTTTTGGTGTTCTATAATTAACAGAATAATAGTCAGCTACAAAGTGGGGATAGATTTATTCCAGTTTTGGGAAAAAGAGATAAACGCCAGAGAAATTTCTACCAAAGAAAATGAATAAATATTAATCCCATTAAAGAATAAATACATTGAGATTCTAAGTATTCATATTCTAGATGAATTGTTCTTAAGCCAAGTGATGGAATAAATTAGCTTCATTTTAGTCCAACAAGAGGGTAATTTTTCTTTCTAACATAGTATCTTCATCTTCTTTACCAAGTTCATTGTCATTGTTAACTTGTGAAAAGGAAGCTAATCACTGTGGCTAAGGTAAAAGGCTATGAAAAAGCAGATACTTACTACAGAGATTTTTTGCTTTACACATAACTTTTAGATTGATACCCAGGATATGATCAGGAGATAAGGGTACTTTCAGCAAAGTCACTGTCTCAACAGTGCAAATAATGGGAAGTATTCTTCCACCCTAAAGATTTGGAGTTTCTGCGGATTGAAAGACAAGTCTTGAACTTTTCAAACACCCTGATCTAGCCTTTGGATTGTCAGCACTTGGGTCAAATGCCCTTCCCAATTCAATACACTGTCACTAAGTAGGGAGAGCTGACATAACAGGTTCAGAGCTGTGACTAGGCATTTTGTGTTGGATTGGTAACACCAAAGAAAGTGTTTTACTGGCATGCTGGGGACAAAAGTCAGTTCGAAGAGTGGCTCACGTATGAGAAGTGGGATCAGTGTCAGCAAAGCTAGGCTACCCTTTCAGAGAGTTTTGCCATCAAGCACAGAGGTGAAGAGAAAGAGGTGACAGGAAAATGCATGGTTGGAAGGGGACGTTGTTTAAAAGTGGCACATGGGTGCTAGTTATCTTGTGGGAAAACAAGCCAGTTAAAAGGCACATATTGAAGTTCAGGCATAAAAAAGGAAAGACTGACAGAATCCTGAAGAAACACTTATAAAGAAAAAGGAAATATCCAAATACTTATGACTTTAGGTATGTGGCCAGTAAATCAATAAAGTTCATGTGTACCTTCCCACATTACTTTGAAGAAACAGTAGAAAACACCAGCTTAGTGGGGTGGATGAGGGCTAAAGAAGAGGAAGAGAACTCTAATTAAACTGGCAACAACTTAGAAAAGTGCAGGCTTCTGGGGAGTGGTGTGGCATAAATCTAAGGCATTTGAAGGATTTGCGGGGCAACACTGAAACACCACACATTTGCAATGGAACAGGGCTTTGACATCTGCCACCTCTGGTTAGGGACCTGCAAGTAGGAATCAAGAAAACAAATCATTTAGGGGTTTCCTACATTTGGGAACTGGCAGTGTCACACAAGTCCCTGAAGGACCTGGGGAGAGCAGGAAGGAAGTTCAGTTGTGTGTCCCACAGAGGAGAAGAGGACTCAAGAGAATAGCACCTGCATTTTCCTGCCTTGGAGCTTTTATATACTTTCCCTCCCTTTGACCTGCCCTCAACACAGTTTTGTATTATTTAAGCCCCCTTTCAAATGCTGCCTTCTCAGTGAGACAATCCTTCCTCTCTCCAAAACTAGTCACTCTAAATGTATTTGTTTCCTGCACTATTTTTCGTTCCAAAAACTGCAACCACTATCCTAGGTCTTAACATAAGAAATAGCAGCATGTAACATTCACTGAGCACTGCACCTAAGCCAAGCACTGCCCTAAGCACTTTGCTAATAATGTTTCACAACAAATCTCACCATGACCCTAGGACAGGGGTACTTTTGGGAATGTCATTTTCCAGGTGAAGTAAGAGAGAGGCTCAGAAAGCATTTCCCACTCAACAGTCTCTAAGTAGCAGAGGCAGGGAACTGACTCTCTTTGCGCAATTTTTTACCTTCTAGTATCATAGCTACTTAATCTGTAGACTCACAAACTGCATGTTTATACCTTTATAGCTCCTACTTCAGCATATTGCACAAAGTAGGTGCTCAGTAACATATTTGACAACTTCCTAATTTCAACGTCTAAAACAACTTGAACTCTTTAACAAGATATGAAAAATTTTCATATCTCAATCAGCTCCACAATTTCTCAATTTGGAACTAATGCCAATGGCAGTCTCTATCTACTAGAGGCTAAGGATGTGATTTAACTCCCTTTTTATTTTCCTTCAGCACTATCTCAGCTTTCACTGAGCACCTAGGCATTCACAGGACAAAAAAGAAAAACTCTTCCTCTTCCCTAATACAGACTTTCAAACTGTGTGACTTAGATAGATACAGTATTTTCTCTTGCTGAATAACAAATTTCCACAAACTACTAGCTTCAAAACTCCATTCATTATATCACAGATTCTTTAGTCAGAATTCTGGCCTTGGCTTGGTTGGATTCTCTGTTAAGGGTCTGACAATGCTGAAAAAGTGTTGCCAAAACTGTGTTCGTTTCTGGAGCCCAGGTCCTCTTTCAGGCTTCTGTGACTATTAGAGGGATTAGGTCCCTTGTTTGAGGGACTGAGGTCCTTATTTGCTTGCTCTGAGCCAGTGACCATTCCTAGCTCCTCTTGCCCCTCTACCATTTATTCCCATGTGTTCCTCTCCACGACATGGCTCTAAGCTCCAAAGCCCAGACAACAGCACTTGCTGCAGCTTCAAATCTCTCTGACATCTTGTGTCTCTGACCTGTGCAACCTATTTTAAAAGGCTCACCTGGTACAGTCAGAACAGCATTGGCCAACAGAAAACAGGAATCTTGGGAGCCATCTCAGAATTCTGCCTGCCACAGAGACTGTAAGTTCTTGGTCTTCACAATGAAATATTTAATTTAACTTGTTTTCTTCTTTTTTCCCTCAGCCTGGTGAGAGTCACAGACACCACAGGAGACCACGTCCACCACCACTGCGTCTTCCTGTACCTCCAGAACCTACTAGTTTTGGCCCAGAATTTGCTCCACCCCCTCCTCCCCCCAATGGCACAGACAGTGTTCCACCACCCCCACCTCCTCCCCCTAATGGCCCAGGGAGTCCTCCACCACCCCCACCTCCTCCCCCTAATGGCCCAGGGAGTCCTCCACCACCTCCTCCTCCTCCCCCTAATGGCCCAGGGAGTCCTCCACCACCCCCTCCCCTTTCCTGGCCTGCTCTCTAATTCTCTAGAAACCTTCCTGTGTATCCTGCCTACTTAAACCCTGCATCCCAAGTAGAATCTGCTACAAGGAGTTTGACCACAGCCACACAATCACCCACCAGCCCTGCAACTACTACCCAAGATACAACTACTGCTACTTCACCCAAAGGCTTTTGCAATAAAGTAGTTTCCAACTGGTGATAAGGATGACATATTCCAGTAGTCCTAAACTGGTGGAGAAATCATCTTAGAAGGAAGCCAGAACAACTCACATAAACATTAGGCTAACAAACTGAAAATAAAGACTTGAGCAATAGTCCTGGCCTGTTGTATGTGGTTCAGTTGGTTGGAATGCTGCCCCATGGTCCAAAAGGTCACAGTTTGGATTCCTGGTTGCAACACATACCGAAGTTGTGGGTTCAATCCCTGGTTGGGTGGGGCTTGTACGAGAATGCAGACAAGCAAAGTTTCTCTCCAACACTGATGTCTCTGTCTCTCTCTCTTTTTCTCTCTCTCTGATGCTCTCTCATAAAGCAATGAAAAAATGTTTTGGGGTGATCATGATCAATAAATAAATGAGAGAAAGAAGGCACTATTATTACCTTTATAGAAACATTGATACCCAGGTTTCTCTTCAGAATGCACAAATCGTTCACCTTAAAAAAAAAAAAAAAGACAAATACCATAGGATCTCATCTTTAACAGGAACCTAATCAACAAAATACACAAACAAGCAAAATATAACTGAAGACACTGAAATTGAGAACAGACTGACAGTGACCAGATGCGAGAGGGGAGGGATTATACAGGCAAAGGGTGAAGGATTTGCGGGAACAGTGATAAAAGACCCATAGAAAATAACAAGGGGGTTGGAAATAGGGGAGGGAGGGAGAGTGGGATGGAGTGGTGGGGGAAGTGGAAAGCAGAAAACTATACTTGAACAATAATTTTCAAAATGTTAAAAAAAAAGCAAAGTACTCTCCACTTGAACAAAAATTATTCCCACTGTTTAAAAAAAAGAGTTGAGCAATAATATGAAATCTCCACTGTTGTCAGAAAAGTTACCAGTTTGTCCCCAGGTAAGCAATGCAGGTGCCAAGAAGCTGACAGAAGCCAAACCTTATACCATGGGGCCAAAGATATAATTAGGGAAAGTACAGTGAGACACCTGAAATCTGGGTGATAAAATTAGAAGATAGGCAACGGGATGCCCGCTGAGTACCAGAACCCATCATGCACTTACAGAAAACAATCATCTGGAGATAATTTTATATGGGGCTCCAGTAATTATGTGAATAATGGTAATATTAATGAGGAAGGAAAGACCAGAGAAGTCTCAGTGGACAAGGATTTGAAATATTCTAAATTCTGCATTGGATATGTCGACTTCGAGGTCTTTATTTAACCCTAGTATTCTTTTCCATTACTGCCATAATATATAGTTACAAATTTGGCATCGTAACACAAATGTATTACCTCACAGTTCCATTAATTGGAAGTCCACACAATGACATGGCTCAGTTAGTTCCTCTGCTTAGAGTCTCCCAAGGCTGAATCAATGCACTGGCAGGGCTGCATCTTTTTTAGAGGCTCTAGAAAAGAGTGTTTCAAGGCTCATTCATTTCCCCTGCACAGCTCTTCTTTTTTATTTTTTAAATATATTTCATGATTAGTCCATTACAGTTGTCCCATTCTCCCCCCTTCATTCACCTCCAACCTGAACACTCCTTCCACCCATTCCCCTCTTTTAGTTTAGGTCCATGTGTCACAAGTTCTTTACATTCTACATTTCTCAAACTATTCTTGCCCTCCCCCCTATTTTTATGTACCATCTATGCTACTTATTCTCTGTACCTTCTCCCCCCTTCTCTTCCTCACACACCCTGGTTGCTAACCCTTCTGTCATCACCATTTCTGTAGGTTCCTGATCTAGTTATGCACTTAGTTTGCTTTTGTTTTAGGTGTGGTTGTTAATAACTGTGAGTTTGCTGTCCTTTCACTGTTCATCTTTTTTATCTTCTTTTTCTTAGGTAAGTCCTTTTAACATTTCATATAATAAGGGCTTGGTGATGATGAACTCCTTGATTTTGCTCTTATCTGAGAAGCACTTTATCTGTCCTTCCATTCTAAATGAAAGGTTTGCTGGACAGATCAATCTTGGATGTAGGTCTTTGGATTTCATGACTTGGAGTACTTCTTTCCAGCCCCTTCTTGCCTGTGAGGTCTCTTTTGAAAAATCCCCTAACAGTCTGATGGGAACTCCTTTGTAGATGATTGTACCCTTATATCTTGCTGCTTTTAGAATTCTCTCCTTCATTTTAATCTTGGTGTCTTGGTGTGTTCCTCCTTGGGTCCAACTTCTTTGGGACTCTCTGAGCTTCCTGGACTTCCTGAAAATCTATTTCCTTTGCCAGATTGGAGAAGTTCTCCTTTATTATTTATTCCAATAACTTTTCCACTTGTTGCTCTTCCTCTTCCCCTTCTGGTACCCCTATAATTCTCATGATCCAATGTTTAAAGATATCTTGGAGATTCCTAAGGCTCTCCTCATTTTTTTGAATTTTTTTTCTTAATTCTTTTCTGTTTGATCACTTCTTTCTTCCTTCTGGTCCACTCCATTGATTTTAGTCCCAGATTTGTTTTTATCACTATAGGTTCCCTGTGCATTTTGCCTCATTTCACTTAATGTTGACTTCATTTTTTTCATCTAATTTGCAACTAAAATCAACCAGTTCAGTGAGCATCCTCATTACCATGTCTTGAACTGTGCATCCAATAGATTACCTATCACTTGGTCACTTAGAAATATTGTCTCTGGGGCTTTGAGCTGTTCTTCTATTTGAGCCACAATGTTTTGCTCTGTTCCAGCCTGTTATGTGTGAGGGGCAAATGGTTACGTGTTCTATGGGGAAAGTCAGGTCAGTTACTGTGTTGTGACTGGGGGCAGGATCAGAGAGGGAGCAATGGCATTTTTTCCTATCTCTCTCAGATTTTGGACCCCTCTACCCCTTCCCACAAGCAAATTGGGCCCTTCTGGTGTTGGTTCCTGGGTGGGTGGATTTGTGTTTGTTCTAAGACCCTGTGGGTCTCTCCAGTGAACTCTCCTTTGAGGCTGAGAGCCTCTCCTGGCACTTCAGCCCCCCAAAGTTTTTCCAGTCCATTCTTTTAGGCTTTATTTCCTGTCCCTGGGGCCCTGGTTGCACAGTCCGTCTCACTGACTGTTTTTAAACCTGTCTGTTTTCTCTGCACACAAATGTGTGTCCTCAGTCAGCCTGCCACCTTGCAAGCATTACTGGGTTTTTGTCCCATGCCCGCCTGGGTTGCAAATAAATGCCTCCTCTTGTCTGGACCATTCTCTACCAGACACCTACTCCGCCCCTCTTACTAGTCTAGATGAATGGTTTGTTGTTATTCGGACTTTGGTACAGATAACATTTCTGTCTGTTTTGCTTGTACTTTGCTTCTAAATCTTTGCTGTCCTTAAATTTGGTTGTGTGCAAAGGTACAGTATTTCCACCGATGCCTCCATGTTGGCCAGACATCTCCCCTGCACACCTCTGGTGCCTTTTCATCCTAACCAGATCTCTGACTCCAGATAAAGAAATTTATCTACTTTTACAACTTTAGATGATTATATTGAGCCTACCAAAATAATCCAGGAACATCTCTCTGTTGTTATCTATATTTAATAACATCTGAGATATCCTTTTTGCAGAAATATCTAGATTAATGTTTGATTAGGGAACCATGAGATGGAATTAAGAGGCACAACCTGACAAATTTTCAAGAGACGTACACTGGCTGATGCAGTTCAGTAAATTGAGCACTAGCTTGCAAATTACATGGTCGCAGGTTCAATTCCCAGTGAGGGTCCATGCCTGGATTGAGGGCCTGTACAAGGTTTCCGAGAGGCAATGACACATTGATGTTCCTCTCTCTTGCTCATTCCCCTCCCCTCTCTCTAAAAATAAGTTAAATCTTTAAATAAATAAATAAAAATTTAGAAGAGAAACAACTTTTAAGTGTATATACTGAGCTGAGCAAGTAGGATGTATACAAGAGCAGAATAAATGGAAGGACTGAATTTAACCAAGATCCCAGTTTTTCCAGGAAAGAATAACAGAAATAGATGGGAAACAGAAGCCACTCCAGGAATTGCAGTTACATATGAGACTAGCTGTGCCACAAGGGCTAGTGAAAGTTTAAAAAAGCTTTCTTTTTTCCTGCTTTGCCTTTGATGCACACTTATTTTATGCTGAATTTACTCCCAGGCCTTATGTTTTTCTTTCTTTAGTTTCTTCTTGGATATGTTTTTCTTCCGTGCATTTTCTCTTCTGGTTTAGGAACAATCTGCTCTTTTTCAGTAGGTTTGTCTCAATGTGGCAGAGAGAGCTCATGTGTGGGTTAAGCTGCCCACAAACTCTGAACATTCTGTGCTGCCTCTGAGAAGATTGTTCACCTGCATGTTCTGAATAAGCAGAAGAGAATCTACATCTAACCTCTCAAGCTCTGAATTACTCTGCATTTTCAAGAATGTGCAGCAAAAATTCAGCACTGTTCTGGGGTCACCAAGCCTGTGTCTAGCGTCACTGTGTGGCCTCAGCACACCTGCCAATTCCACCATTATAACAACAAAATGGCACATGTGGCTTCTGTAAAGGGACATCTTTCAGATACTTGTTAGCATTTCAGACTTTTATACACTTGAAGGCCTGGAAAGTCTTATGGGTGTTAAAGTGAACATGAGAATTTGAAACTCTTGAATTGCATGATTTTGTGGAGCTTTCTGGGTCAAGGGAATAGTGAACTACT